AGAAAGAAAGAAAGAAAGAAAGAAAGAAAGAAAGAAAGAAAGAAAGAAAGAAAGAAAGAAAGAAAGAAAGAAAGAAAGAAAGAAAGAAAGAAAGATAAAGAAAGATAAAGAAGAAGCATGTGCTTATTTCTTATAAAACACCAACAGGAACTACCTATTTCCCCATTCTCAGGAAGACAGATGTAGCTTATGTGCTTAAGAAAATAATTTAAAGACTATGAAATGAACCAAGAATACTCTGACTCCCAAGGCATTCTCTTTATAGACTTGCATTACTCTTAAAGACAGTATCGACCACAGGCAACCTCTGCTTTAACTGGCCTCATTAAAAGGAACTTTAGTTTCAACACAGACGATTATTTCAGTCTGACAGACTAGCTGCTCCTTCCTTCTCCCGACAAATAAATGGGTGGCTGGAATACACTGAGAGAGCTGCCTAAGAACATACATTCTTATAAAACAATTTTAGCAAGTTTTAAATGATGCTTGTGTTTTTACATAACTTCAGCAATTATTTTTAACATTTTTCTGTTTTTTATCTAATTTTAACCTTATTTATTACGATAAAATATACAACCATATTTCAAAGAAAAACTACTGTCCAAAAAAGCAGAACGGGGAGGCTTCCTCTGGAAACACGTTACCTAGTGCTCAACACTTAAGCTCTGCAAGAGCAGCAAGGTCTGCAGCTGCTCAGCCTCAGCACTTCAGTGCACCAAGAATGAATGCACTTCTGGGAAAAAGAAAAAAAAAAAGGGATTATTTTAATGATATACTAATGTCTAACCATCTACCAACACACAAATGCTATTGCCCTGGCAGAAAACACTGAGTTTTAAGGGGAGAACTTGACCTGCTCAGTGCTTGCTGGGTGCAGTGCTATCACACCCCAATTCGCTTCTACAAGGAAACTTGAAGGCAGAAGGGCTTTAGACTAAAGTTTAAATGAGTTACTTGTTAGTGCATACTCTCCTTGTCCCACTGAAAGCCTTAAACCAGAAACAATTACATGAACACAAAAAGGAGATTCAAAAAATAATCCTTCATGCTCTGCCATAGTTACCTTCTTATTTTTCAAAATCATTTCCAAAAAGAAAAAAAAATGTATTTGGGTACAACAGTGGAATTTGTGTCATGATGACCAAATGATTACAGTGCAAACTGCAGATTCTCCGGTGGCTCCGCAGGCTTCTGGTCCCCATGGTAACTAAAGCTCAGATATTGTCCTCCACTCAGCTGGAGCACTGAGAGTTGGGAGGCTTTTGTGCCAGCGGAGATTTCTTCCCCAACCTTCTAGCAACAGACCCTACTGCTTCCTCCTGACTCTTTCCTAATTGAGATGCAAATTAATCTCTGTGGCTGATTACACTTCCCTTAAAGCCACTGACAAGTGCAGCTGTAACCAGAGTTTACAGACTTTCCAACAAGTGACTTCAGCTGTCACTATTTGCATGCGGCTGCCAGAGCTCAGCAGCCCTCTGCGCGGGGGATGCAGATCACTTCCCTTCAGGCACCGCCAACATTTATTCACTTCCCATCCTTAAATAGGAAGGTTCAAACAAGAGCTCTGCCATGTGCAATATGCCCTGGTTAAACTGTCCTGATAAATGTTTTACACTGCCAGCTCCAGTGGCAAGAAAGTGAAGGGGAAATGGGAACATTTTCTTTTATTTTTAAGCTTCCGCCATCACTTAATAAACCAATCCCTCAAGTCTCCTTTCACATGGAGCCCTTGATTTTGCTCAGATTAGTCAATATTTTATTACTATCAAACAATTTACAACCAAGGAGAGTGTTTAAGACCTGACCTAAGCAGCCATGGAGCAATCTGCACTGCTGTCCCCGCAGTTATTCTCTGCAATTACCAATTACCGATTTCTAACCACACTTGAATCAAGAACCTTTCTAACTATTAACTCTTCCTAGGAATGTCTGCTCTACAATGAAAACTGGAAGATAACTCCTCAGCTCTGCCTTAACAGGCTATCAAAACTTTCCTGCATTCACCCAAACTGCAAAGTTATGTTACCTATATATAAAATACATGATGCTTTGCATATGTTTTGCAATAYGCAAAAAACATCACTATTTACCACAAATATTGCTTTTTACTTCTCTTTTCCATTGACATTTTCAAGTTATTCACCTTTCTTTCAGTGACTTTATAATTCTTAAAGCTGATTCTTGGTCCATTAGCTCCAGCCACTACAGCCCGTTGATCTTTCGCACCCTCTTCCTTTCACCCCCCGAGTTTAATCTGATTTTTATCATCATCTTCATCGTCTTCCAATTTTATCATCTACAAATAAAACGCTATAGTGTCCTAAGAAAAGCCTTTTTATAAAATCCTAAGCAACTGAAGGGTCCGCCTCAGCAAAATGAGCCATGTGAGTGCCCGTGTGTCAATCCTAGTAAAAGCACATATATTAAGCCAGCTTAAAGCTTTATAGAGCCTCTTGGCCCTCACACACTGCTGTTTGCTGCTGCACTTGAGAAGCTGGACGAGGGGCTGCGTGCAGCCCGTGGCCCTCACGCTTACATGGTGTTAGCTCAGCATTTTCCTTATCATTTTCCTCTCCCACTTGACGAAATTATTGAACCTGTTTTCATTACTTCTAAATTGCTGGGCTGGCTGTTCTCCTGGTTGCTTCTTCGTAGTTACAACAGGGAAGCCCTGAGAGCGAGAGGGTCCRTGGAGCCTGCACACAGCGGGAAGAGCCGCAAAGCAGCACCACCATCTGGGACACGTTCAAACGCTGCCCTCCAAAATCCTCAGCACAGACAACAAGGAGATGTTACCTACTTGTAACTGTGAAAGAAAGTCACCCTTAGACCGCTATGGGGTTAGGAAWGCCCAAATGAGAGTATGGGAGTTACAGAAGGATTTCTGCCTTGTTCACAGTTATAACATATGTGTCTGTTTTGAAGACATTTTCCCATCCTGTTATATCTCAGTCCTTCTCTCCCAGGAGCTTCTGAGCTGTAATCCATTGTAATATTTTCGATACACATGCAACCATAAGCATAAATTCAATTTTCCACTTCATTTACTTTTTTTTTTTTTTTTTTTTTTTTTTTATATCTTTGTGCCTTTGCTATAGAAGGCGCTCAATTACCTATAATAAAATTTACATATAGCTTTCTCATCCACCCGAGGTTATCCTGACGGGTTCTCCCAATGGGATCTCCAAACATCAAGCCACCATCTTTCAGTCTCCGAAGTCTCTCAATCGACAGTCACTTTCCATTTGTCATACAGAGAAGCAGCCTTTGACGAGCGACAGAAACCGCTGCTGCAAACACACAGGGAGGTGCCAGGGAGGAAGCTGCAAATTCAGGGACAACTACTCACTRAAGCACATACTGGGAAGCCACGTGTGCCATCACATGTGTGCCCCTCGTGTCTCACTACAGGATAAATAAGGGCCATTTAAGGACCTAGAAAGAGACCCAACTAGAAAGCTGAAGCACAGGCTGGTGGAAAATACTGACTCAGAAAATGTGAAGATGAACAGGAGCTGAAAAGCTGAGGACTCCTACAGGGAGTTGGTTGATGAGGTAACAGTAMGGGGCAGCAGCCTTCTTATAACCTCCGTTGCTAGCAGTAATTCTACTGCACTAGTTTTGTTACACGCACATTAATCCATTGGCTTATATATTCAAAATTGCACATTAAAAAAATTAGTAATTAGATTTCTGTCATTAAACGAAAGTGAAAAACCTGGCATGCTTTAAATAGCKGTTAGGCACTGCCATAATTTTGCATTCGACTGCTTATGCAACAACCATAGACTGATTTTGCTCTAAAATGAGTAAACAATGAAGCTAATAAAATATTAATTAACTACAATGCTACTCTTGATTTCTGAGGATATTTGCCAAGTATGTTAGATGAAACAAACTCTTTAAAAAAGTATTTGTAAAGTATTAAGGGTATTAAAATTGCATCTCAAGCTAATTTACCTACGTTCCTTCAAAGACCAAAACATTCAATTTCCAAACTCTTTCTCACATGATCAGAAAAATCATTATATGAAAAGCATTCAAAGAACGTGAAGTGCAATGAGTTTTGCTCCTGCCATGTGATTAACAAAATGTGCTGCAAAACGCTCCTAGTGCAATTCTATGTGAGAAAAGACTCCCCAAAAGTCAGGCAGCAAATGATTTTATGTTCTTAGTCTGCATATCATGTAATAAGAAAAATTAATACCATGTGTTTGGTAGACAGAAGCATTCCATGTAGTTACCTTCCAGCAACTGGAAGAAAATAGGTTCTTAAAATCCTTAAATGCAGGCATGCTGGAATAGAAATTGAGCTAGGTAACTGAAACATCCAAATCACGGGTCAAACCCTGTCTCTGTTCCTAATGTACTAATGCATATTTTGTTAGTAAAGCCCCAATAAAGCCAGTGGAACTTCCCTGAAAAAGAAGGCGAGAATACAATTTGCTCTGTGTATTAGTCTAATATAGACTGTAGGTAACTACTTTATTGACATGACAGGAAACTGGAGATTATCACCACTTACAGTTCRAATAATAAATATTAAGCCCAAGCCTACCCTGAGCAAGATTCTCCCAAAYTGCTGGTGAGACCATTCTTCTGATGTTATGACCTTATTTTTAAAATCCTAGCTTATAGCTGGGTATGAATGATCTTAAAAACATGGAGCTTGACAGAAAGTTTTGACATTTATACACTAAAATTAAATCAAGAGAACTCTCACGAACACTTACCTCTAACAGAAGAGTATCAGGAATGAAAGACCCTATATCACATCTGTAGGAAGAAAGGATACAAGCTCTGGTACAGCGGGATGAGCGACTTCACAGCTCTGCTGGCATTGATGCATGTGGCACATACAAGGCTTGGCAGCAGCTTCGCAGTCACTATTGCTCCATCAAAGAGAGGACCGAAAAATGGCACCTGCAGAGCCCAGAATAAAAACACCACACACAAATTAAGGCCAACTGGAGATGCAAGATTTCTATATGTGTGTAAGGCCACTTTATAGAACACTCAACTCTGTGTATGTTAATTTACAATGTAATATTAACAAAATTCATCTATGGACTTGAAATTGATTTTCCATTTTGGGTAGACAGTAAAAGATGTTTTCTGTCTTGCATCTCACAGAGACCCTCATTCACTGGCTGAGCAACACAGCATYGGCAGGAGTTTCTGCAAGAAAGTGTTTGTATTAAATATTCCTCTATGAACTTCTTCCTTGGACATCGCTCCAGGAAAAAAAACCCTGAGCTGATCCAAGAAAATCACATCTATAGAAAGTAAAGATGGCAGAAAAATAAAAACTCTCCAAGTTAGCAGCAGGTAATGAATTGGGACAGATGCCAACAGGTCTAGTTCYAGTATATGAGGTACAATGTTAAAACTGTGTTACTTTAAGGTTTTCCTTCAGAGGAAATGATGATATGATGAAATTTCATGACCTATGGTTCTCCAGAAAAGTATCTGTGTCATGTAAAAAGCCCAAACATTTAATTAAAGTGAAAAACATCTGGAGTTACATACGTGTAACAGATCTTGCAATGTCAAAACAAGAAAAGCTTACATTAAAATGTATAGTAAATGTTATATTTACAAGTGGTCAAATATTTACAAGTACTCATTTTCCTAACACCAATTCAAAGTGGAACAAAAACCCCACACAGAAGCCGGCAGCCATTATCAATATTTAAGCTATGGATTTTTTTCTACCCGTACAGAGGCTTATCGCATAAATAAATACCCTCTATTATTCTTCTGCAACTGCTCATGGGTGACTGTGACAGTCATTCAATAAACGGACAAAGGGAATAATATAAATCCCTTGCATCTAGGGAATTCTTCTAATTAGAAGTGGCAATGAATTACAGGAGAAATTTGGTTTTAATATAACATCTGCAAGTGACAGCTGTCTTTTCACAGAGATTTTCTGTCATTCCTTCACTTAAATAATCACCAAAAMCCCCAAAATAGATCAGGGTAAAATCTTTCCATAGCGTGGGGGTGTTGTTAGGTTGTTTTCATGTTTAAACTATTCTTGGGTTCTTCTCATGAATTCTTGCTCATGTGGTAGTGCTCAGCACCGCTTCTCCTGCAATAGGGTGCATGCGTACATTTCAAAGGCTGCTATTYGGTAAATTTACCAAAAATCTCTCCCAACTGTCATCACTGACTCTTGTTTTAAAGTAAAAAGATTCATTATTGTTTTCTCGGCGGGCTTAACATTCATGCTCTGTTAAAACACACTTTTATCTACTGAAAAAAATCTTTCTAAACTAAAAAGGGGACTCAAAGGTCCAGCCCAGTCCGATCTTAACCAGGCTGCTGCCACGAGGCAGCAAAAGAAGGAGGGAAACAAAAAAAAACAATACAATAAAATGATGTTTATTATTTAGCTCATCTCCTCTGCACACGTTAAGTATGGGACTTTCAAAAGAAGGAAAGTACGAGTGCTTTTTGTCCCCCCCCACAAGACCRATTATTTCTAGAACTACATCCTAGGGATACGCTTGGCCACAAATTACGTATTTTTTCATACCTCAGAGGTAGCGCGTGCTGTCAGCTACCAAAAGAAAACAACACAGGATAGGAAGGAAGTGACCTCGTATGGAAGGGAATAATTTCTTCCTCTTATCAAAGCAAAACAAACATAATGCAAAGCCAGACAAATCCTTGCCCAAATCTGAGTTGGCGTTTCCAGTTGCAGGGGCTAAGGGAGCCGGACGAGCGCCCGGTGCCGGTGCCGCACGCGACGCTCGTGTCTCCCAGCACAGCCCCAATGCGCTCGGAATTACGGATTCCTCTCAGATGCTGCAGCCTGGCTGCAGGTCATGAAAGTCAAAGGAAGGCAGCGCAGCAAAGGCTTCCATCTGCACAGAGCTCGCTGCCCAGCGAGGCCATAAACCAACCACGGGCGAGCGGCGGCAGCCTCGGCTCAGAACTTTCTGTAAGTTGGTATTTGAGGTTAGACTTAAATAGGAATCAGTTACAAAAATATTAAAGAGGGAAAGGGAAAAGTCCTCTGCTTAACCACTCCGAATGTCAACACAAGTTACTCAGGAAGCAGAAATTAATATTCCCCCCCTGCAAACACCTGCTTCCTCACAATTTCCAAGAAGGAAAAAAAAATTATTTTTTTGCTGCAAACAGCAGAAGTAGGCAAGGTTAAATAAACCTTTGGAGCACAAAGGCTTCACTTCTATAGCAAGCAGCACTAGTTAAAAGACTGGGGAATGGGTAAATTATTGTACCAAATGGCTGAGAATTAATCTCTGATGACTAGCTGCAATCTAACGAGGCATCTGTGTCCCAGGGAACCCACAGCGTGTCCCTGGCGGTATGTGCAGTGTGTAGAGTCTGCTTGGCATTCTTTGTCCTCTTTTGCAGGCAGCTTTTCGTCTCATTGTTTAGAATATCCTCATGCATCTGTGACGCGTGGAATGCATTCATCCTAACAGACTTACTATTGTTTTCGCTCCGAAGCTTTGTTGAGCAAAGACTGCATCACGGTTCCTGATAATTATATTGCTTAATTAATCAAGACAAAAAAAATTTGCAAATCATTGCCTGGTTGCCAAGCAGGGAGATAAAAAATGAAAACAATACAAGCTGAGGCAATATAACAAAAGTAACAGCTATCTGATCAGAAATTCTTATATAATGAAGCTATTAATGCTAAATCGGTTAATGTTAACATTGCTCCAGGTGTCTCTACTTAGACGCAAACAAAAAGGCTAACATTATGTATATAAAAGGCCAAATGTTGCCATGGATTCTGTAACCTGATAGAGAGGACAGCCTTTTCATTTGATTAGGGAATGCAATTTAAATACCAGGGACTGAAGCCAAACAACAGACATTTCTCTCTGCAAGCCTCTTTCATTCACCCTGGGGTCAGTAGCTAGTGAACAAAAGGTCAGCCACACTTGCCCTGGAAATGTCTGGATTAATTTTATTACATTGTAATGGTTTGTACTTTAAATGCAAGGATAACACTAAATTTCCAGTTAGCTATTATTCCTTCAGCCTGTTGGGCACTTTTTGGCTAACATACACAACAGCATGGCTTTTTTTTCCCCCGATTGATTCATAGAATTTTTAWGCATCTTCATAAACTAAATGCAGGTTTTTCTGATGGAACTCTGAGGTTGAGATGCATTAAAGCTATTTGGTATTTTAAAGCCATTTTGTTTTACTAAAATTCCTGAGAAGTAAATTGCAGAGCTGAAAAATCAAGTTTAAAGACAAAAACAAAGGAAATTATTTCAATTTATTTTAAAAAAATCAGGTTTCTTATTGAAAGTGACTGCTGGCAAAATCTAACTGTTACTATATAACAACTAGATCTCAATATTCAAAAAGTATTCCGTCCAGTGATAAATATGTCAGATTCACACATTTTTCACAACTGGTCATCCTCCTAGAAAAATGCTTCTTTTGATATAAAAAAAAATTTATCACTTTGGTTACTTCCACAAAACATATTATATACACATTTTTGCACYTACAATGCCAGAGAAGCATTTATTAAGCTAGCCCTTCTATATACATACACATGAATAGACAAGTTGACATCCTACAATCAAAAAAAATCCATTATTTCCCCCAAAAGTCTAAAATGCAGTTACAAAACATTAACATCAAACTGCGTTGCTGTCAGGCTGTCCAGTGACTCCACCATTCCGGCGAGTCAGATTATCGTGAGGGTCTCAAAAACATGTGAGGTAATGCACAGTGCCATATGCACAACAGGAGCTAAGCCGTATGGGGTGAATTAATAGCAAATGAGGAACCTAAATCTTGATTATTTTGCATCGATTGGCTTACACTGGAAGTGGCAATCATTTTAAATATTGTTCACTGTACAATAACTTTGACTTTGGAAATACTTCCCTTCAGCAACAATATAACATGAATTGTTTTCTGTTCACGTGTAGGAATCAAGTCTTGGTGCTCAGTGTTCTTTTAAACTGAAATGGCTAAACTGTGTTTAGTATTTGTTGGATGCTAAAGCAGCTTTATTCGAGCAAAAAAAAAAAAAAAAAAAAAAAAACCTGTTGGTCACTTGAATAACACACATGACAGATCCAATAAAGCAGTCAAAACATACCTCTGGTTTCTTCATTATCTCTATGAAAAACATGTGATTCTTCATCGGATAAATAACAATTAAAACATCTCCAAAGTCTGTGGGTATAATGCCCCTGCGGTAGTTCCTGGTGTGCTCCGACCAGACGATGTGAACCTCATCATTTCCCAAGTGACGAAGCTGCAACGGCAAATTGGCTCTTTATTAATCAGAGTGATAACAACAGTTTATGAGGGGTCATGGCTTACAAATTGAATTACAATGCTCAATAGTAGAAATATTTCATTACGGAAAAAGTTAAAATATTGTTTTTCCCTGGTTGCTCATGAAAAGATCGGTTAAATAATTTGTTTCATTCAGAAGGCGTTGTTATCTGACGGCTTAATTAAGTAATTAGCAAATTACCCATTAGCACGTTATGTAGATGTACATTACCTATAATAATTTAAAGATGGCAATCTGAATTACCAGAGCAAAACATTAACCAACAGAACATCGCACTGTGGTTAAAATACCACAGCTGTCACAGAAATAAGAAATGTCCCAATTAAGGATGGTGGAGAAATTGCCACTATGAAGCTCTATTRCTCCATTTATCACAAAATGAGTATTTCCTTGTGTATTCAGAGTCTGGAAAGAATTTGTGTTTGAAAACTGAAACAGAATTCCTTGGAACAACGCAAGTCACAGCAGAAAGCAAAATATTTGGGGAATTACTTTTTTTAAGCAGAGTTGCATAAAACTAAGTCTCAATATGACTCACACAGAAAGCCCCGCTGCAGATCTGCATGTTTGCTGGGGTAGGGGGGAACTGGAGGTGATCTAACAGATGGCAGAAAGCATTTGAAGATGACGTACAAACGATGCACAACAGCTTCCACCGTAAGCCTTAAGGGTAAAATTTAACTCACAGTAAAAGTGCCAGCCCCAACCAAAGCGAATTTAAGTCCCACTTGAAAAATCATCATCTCCAACTTGGTGTTGGCTTCTTGAAAAATGTACACCATAGACATATCAAAGTAGCCATATCACACATCTGCTTTACTCATTATCCCCACAGAGGAGAAAAAAAATCACTAGATAAAAACAATTAAATAATCTCTGCAGGCCTTGTATTAGTCTGTACTGATCACAGAGTCTTCCCTCCAGGGGAATTCCAGAYAACACCTTTAAAACATTTCACCTCCACAAGACTGGATGACAAAGGGTACACAGGGTTACAATACAAACCACCACAGAAGAGCATGAGAACTCTCTTCTTTTTCATACCTATAAAAGAAAGTTTTAGTTCTGTCGGAAGCAAATATAAACATTTTCTGAGGTATTTTACTTAAAAAAAAAAAGAAAAAACATTAACAATGTTGCTCCTGAAGCTTCTTAGGTGCATACAAGTGAGTGTGCATTACTGTCCTCACATTCATCCATTTGTAATTGCTCTTGTATTTTTTTAATTACCCAGTGAAAATAAAAAAAACAAGAAAATATTGTCAATAATATCACATTGCAGATCAATACACACAAAACTAATTACTCATTCAGATGTATGACAGAATTCTGATTTCACTGCAATCAATGGCAAATGCCCTTGTTTCTGGTGCAGATTTGCATCTGAATTAAGGGATGCAGTGAGGCCACCACAGAAATGATCAAAAGTGAGATGCAAAGCCTGCTTTTTAAAAAATAAAACCAGTCTGGCTACAATACTTGGGGCACAACAGGTCACGCAAAGCGAGAATCGTGGCATTTGGCAAGGCTAGCCCAAAGGCAGCCAAAGCAGAGCTATAATTTACCAGAAAAGCCAAGTGAAACAAGGGCCCAGCTCAGACCAGCTGTATTCAGAGCAGGTCAGCAGCACTGCACCCATAAGTAGAACTCTGAATTTATGACATCCTATGTAGGCACCCACCTCATCGCTGAGTCAGGCGAGTTCTAGGCCAACCCATGAAAAACACCCAATGCCTGTATTTAACCATCTCTCGCTTAAGAAACTCAATGCATATGGAGACAGAATTCAGTAAGATGAGATTAAATGCTTGTTTTTGACAACAAACAATGACCAAGTGCTCAAACCTCGAAGTGCATTCTTAATCATTGCAGTTATAAGGTGTAAATTTAATCAAAAATATTTGCTCTGGAAAGATGCTGTCTCTAATAAAACATGGTATAACCACCTTATCAGTGACAACATGCCAACAGCCAGGTTCGTCACTCAYTCAGCACAAGTTACATGGTGGACTAAACACCTTGGAGGATATATGCAAGCAAGTCTTGGTTATGGGTACAAAGCAGCCAACACAATGCATACAGAGCAAGAGATTTATGCAATATTCTCTGTATAGTTAATGAGTGGGGAAAATATACTCGTGGAAATTGCAGAACAGCCAGAGAAGAAAACTCTTCTCCTCAAGCAAGTTGAGAGGGGATCTGATTAATATGTATAAGTACCTGAAAGGGGAATGTAGGGAGGATGGGGCCAAGCTCTTCTCAGCGGTGGCCAGTGATAGGACAAGGGGAAATGGGTATAAGTTGAAACACAGGCAGTTCCATCTCCATGTGAGGAAGAATTGCTTTACTGTGAGGGTGACAGAGCCCTGGCACAGGCTGCCCAGGGAGGCTGTGGAGGCTCCTTCTCYGGAGATCTTCCAAAATCGCCTGGATGCCGCCCTGTGCCCCGTGCTCTGGGTGTCCCTGCTGGAGCAGGGGGTTAGACTAGATAATCTCTAGAAGTCCCTTCCAACCCCAAGCATTCTGTGATGCTGTGAAAACATTACAAAAAGCAATGAGGCAGCTCCAGGCAAGTGCAGGAGCTGATGYGCGGCGCTCCCCGCACGCCTCCCGTCCCGCACAGCGCATCCCAGACGCGGGACGACAGCCGATGTGGCCGATCTGGGCTCCCGCCTGCCTCCCTGCGCGTGGACCGCTGGAGCAACCCCCCACCGTCACCGCAGGAAGGCCGCGGGGGTGTCGCGGCGCGCGCTGCCGCTCGCCTGAGGCCCGCGCGCTCGCGGGGCTGCCGGCTGCCTGCCGCGGCCCACACCTAATAGCCTGACCTCCTTTCCCCGCTAATTGCATTAGGCAGCCAGCTGGCTCCAGAAGGGAGTCGTCTGTTTTACGGAAGAATTCCTGCTTTCGGGCAGGCCTGGCTGCTACTTTGCCTAAGTAACAGCGAGGCCTGACATGGCCATTGTGGGCCTGACAGTGCGGCCATCCTCGAATCCTGGTTTTATTTGTAAATTAAGCGAGAAACTTCCTGCCAGAGCCGCGCTGCCTGGAGACTGATAATGTGCGCCTTTCATTCCCTTTCACTCTTACTGTATCACTGCCAATTTGTTTTTCTGCTGCTCGCCAGCCTTAGGCTATAAAAGCCTTGTAAGACATAAGTGCAATTATAGTCCTGGAGTCAAATGAATTGGACAAATCCAATAGCACAGCCCTGGCCCCACTCGGCAACCCCCTACAGCAGTTAGATTAGCCGCTAAAAATCAAATCTAGCTCCAGCTAACAAATTTCGGCGGTGAAGGAGCAAGAGTTCAGGATGGGGTTGCAACCAGATTTCTGAATTTAAAAAGTTCTGCTCGGACAATGGCAGAAGATGGAATAAATCACTTAAAAACCYCCACAGCTCATTTTTAAACAGTTAGGGACAATTTAGCCGGAACAAGGCAGGGGAGTGGAGAATGCTGTTACTATGATTGATTTTCATTTTTGCTACAAGACATCCAGATAAAGAGAGTTGAGAACTAATGATGCTGATTCCTACAGCAGCAAAAATATCAGCTGAACTGTGAATATTTCACCAGAACACATTTATTTTTATTTTTATCTTTAGGAGAGCCAAGACTTACTTGGAGATTCTTTTCTTTGAATGAGCAACATAATATGCCAGCATCTAAAGGAAGACAAACTACCAATTACAACTGCAGCGTGCAAAAACAAATGGGCCAAACTGAGCCTCAGTGGAAGAGCACTTATCGTGGGGAAATTTATACCAGAAATAAATTTATCCTCCTGTGTTCCGTAAAAGTAAGGAACCATAACAACATATTTAAGGAGAATTACTGCATCTGCTTAATTCCACAGCCTGCAGAATTTATGGCCTGCTGTACGGCTTCCTTGGCCAGCAGGTGGTAAGACCTTCTGTTCAGCTCTGGAGCTTGCTAGCCCAGCAAACTGGTATTGAATTCTTTTTGCCTGTCTGTTGACAAAATAAGCAGAGAAGAAGCCACAGAAATGAAACAGAGATTCCTCAGATAAAGGGCAGCTTAGATCACCATTTTTGACCGTCATATATTTTCACTGCAGCAAAAAAATGAAGTAGATGAGAGGTGACAACATAGCACYCTGCCTTCCCCTACATACTATTATGAAACAGAAGCATTACTGAAATGAGTAAATAGCAACTTTTTAATCACAGAAGACCCACATGTTGACACACCACTCCATAAATCTGAGATAAGAACTCAGGGCCACCATTCACCAACTTTTCTGCGAGCACATGGAACTATTAAAATACATTTATTAATGTAGAATGGCACGAAGGTCTGGGAAGCACCTTCAACCACCAGGTAAAACACAGTRCAAAATTCCACTTGAGAGGGACTCGGGTGTCGTATCCTTCAGTCCTTAACAAAAATGGGGGGGTAAGAGGGGGTACGTCCTCCTCCTGTTTAACACTACAAAGAAGTTGGGCACGTGCTTCTTTCTGAGCACTCGTGCCAGTTGTGGTCTGCACGAGGAAGGGTTGCCAAAGTCAGTGTGGGACTCGAGAGAGACGAGGAATTTTGATGCTGAAGTGCCAATGTATTTGTCTGCAAGCATATGGCCTGCTTGCAGCTAAGATTCAAAAGAGAATTTTCCAGAAATGGACACTTTAGCTCTTTAACAACTTGCAGTATATTTAGCACTGTCTTTAGGAATGTTTTAGATACGCATTCATGCCAAAATCACCAGCTTCAAAACATGGCCTCCTTTTGCCATCGTTATTACCAAAGAATTAAAAAACTACAGTGCTTTTGAAAAGCATCTAGGCTCCAGTCTCAGCTGTAATTTTGTACAGTTTCTTAAGAAATGTATGCTGATTTGTATAAAAATATATCCTAGCTTACAAAAGAGTTGTAAGCAAAATAAACAAAATTGTTCTGTACAGATGTGTAGAATAATGCATATTAAAAAGGAGCTCTGAAAGTTATCTGGCCCATCCACCAGTTAAAGCAGGGTCCCACTCGGGAAATACATTAGGTGCCTCTGAGCCTTGCCATTCYTTATAGGAATACAGTGCAATTCCTGCACCACTCCCATTCCAGTAGCAGATCTTCCTAAGTTTTAATCCAATTAATTTGTGGTATTTTCTGTGGATAATACATGCTGGAACTGGCCTTGTTTCCTAGCCCTCCGGGACTTGGAAATTGCCAGTTATTAAATGTTTATGCTTTTTGTTTCTTAAGCCATCTACATTTCCTAAAGGCTAAAGCAAATTTAGGAAGCACAATTAAATACAATAAATATAGGCTCTCTCAATGGCTATATTAATCACTAACATGGGTAGGCTGAACAAAAGAGACTGTTCGCAAACAAAATCCAGTTTTATTTTCTCCAAGCTCTCTGTCAGACTGTGTTCCTTCCATTCTCAGCTAGCTGCTATATCCCTGCCTGGGAAAGCAGGACAGCAGTACTCAGACGAGCAAGTCTGCCGAGCAAGGAAGGGAATATTCTGTTCTCCATATGGCTGTGGAATAGGGTAAGAATCAATGGGCTTAAACTGAACTCAAATAAACAAAAGAAGAAATTTGCTCATAGTACAAGGAGTGAAGCATTGGAGTATATTGCCTAGAGAAACTGTAAAGCATTCATAACTGGAATTTTTAACTAGAAGCCTGACAAATGTCTGCCAGGAACAACAGAAGCACAGACAAACCTACCTGGCTCAGTACAGCGTGGACTGCAGAGCCTTCAGTGGGCAGCACAGCCTTATTTCTCTGCCTTAAGGTGTTCAGATTACACTCTGCCACTCTTGGGTAAAGAGTGGAAATGAGCAAATATGTAGATAATGAGTTGCATGTGTACAGAGAAATATAATTCTGTTAATACACTTTTTTTCCCCTATGACAGATAGCACAAGGGAAAAAAGGAGTTTAGCTTTATTACTAAAAGGCTGGAAAAGTTCTCCAGACAGGTAATCAGGAATTCCACCCTTTAAGTTCTAAGAAAAACCTCTTAAAAAAAAAATAATGGGACAATAAATAAAAATATCTGGCAATATATATGCACATACTTTTCAGAGCACCACTGTATCACGTAGCAGACTGGATGGCTGTGGTAGCATTATTCATGCATATTAACAACACACACAGGACAAGTTGCCAATCCTAATTAAAAAGGCAAGGATTTGGTACGCACCTAAAATCTTCTTTGACTGTAAAACAGTAGCTGGCAAGCACCATAATCTCTTATTAGGGAAGACAAATGATTAAGTAGTGTAACCAACATTTTGGGCTGGGTTCTGACCATCTTTGAAGCAGACTCTGTTTTTCAGAATTGTGACTAACTGGATAAGAGTTTTAAACATCAGCTGGCTGCTTCGTGGTACTATGCTTGTCACTTCTCTTTCCCTTCCCTTTTTTTCTCTATCCTCCAGACAATTCGTCTGTTACGTTTTATCATGCTGCATTTGTTTTGTTGTTGTTGTACCAAACTACAACAGTTTTGSCAGGCAGACAACATCCAAATGAAATTATTGCTAATATTATTACTAATGGTGGTATTTGAGGCTACCATGGCAATGTTAATCGTATTCTAGAATCCAGAATTTAGAAGCCAATTAATTCAGATAATCTAGCAGCAGAGCTCCATGTGCCACAGAGCAAAGAYGGCCTGTTAGGATCATTTGGTACATTCTCTTTTCAGTTTAAGCTTTAATCTAAGCATGTGAGGGTTACAAAAATTACTTGGAAATACCCAGCAAGTGATTTACCTTTTTGGTCAGTGAATCATCTGAATCTGATGGCATTCTCGTAGACACATGAAAAATGATTTCCACTGTAGAGGTAGCATAATATGGTGCTGTTTGTCCTGTGCTGCCATTACGTTGCAGGCCGCCCATAAAGCCACCGTGTGTTGAAAGATCAACCTAATGGATTAAAAGGTGTAATTAAAAGAAATTATTTCCGTATTTATTTATGCATCAAGGCTTTGACTGTGAAGTTACTACTGAGGAGTTCTGTAATCCTCAGAGGAGTCTTCCTATATACAGTTTTTGTGCAAAGAAGAAATATATGGAGAAAATATAAACAAAAACTGCAGAAGAGATTGAAAATTTATACAGAAAGAAAAACATCGAAGGAATCATGCGAAAATATTGAGAAGAAATGCCTCTCAGAAGAACCTGTGTCTAAAAGTTGATCCTTTTTCCCAACTATCTCAGCCTAACTTGAGATACAACCTCTCCCTGAAAATCTGCTTCACTTCTATCAATAGATACAGCAAATGAAACAGAGCTACCACGTATTTTCAAAAAATAAATGTCCACGTCTCAACAATGCAAAGAAAAGAAATTGCCCTGTCCTCTGCATAAGTTCGGTAGTTGGGTTTGTGGTTTGACCACATGAAAAGGTAAAAGCATTCAGTATGGCAACTGAATATTTGCCTCCTACAGCTTCTAGCATCCAGAAAGCAGAAACATCAACTGTAGCATCCTTGTCCATCAGAACAGGAAGGATATGCAACGATACTGACAAATTCTATTATGGGGGACTGTATTTTGTGCATGCCAAGCTAGTGACAGCAAACAAGTGAATGAGGAACACCACAGTGCCTATCTTCCCACATATCTTTCCTATCTACGCGTGTTATCAGGCAGGTGCCTGATGCTTGCATAAGATGGTACTGGAAAGTATTACTTCCAACAGGTGATAGGCACTTAAAAAAAAAAAGGAAGAAAAAGAAGCAAAACACAATAAAACAAAATCTCCAACAAAAAATAACTCTCAAATTAAAATTTAACTACTTCACACTGCTTGGCTACTGCTTGGTGAACAAATGGTCTAATGCCCTTCTAGACAGGGGATTTTCAAAACCTGACTCACAGTTTCYTGCTCAGATTAAAGATACACAGTTTCCACTACTTAAATGAACAGAAAAATGGAAAAGTTCTTCCTTCAGGCAGGAAGTATTGGGCAAACTCCTTTGTCWGGGGACAACTTGGTCATCACAGCAGTCTGATGAAAAACTCAACAAAAACATTCCAACTTTCTTCTTCCCTTGAAGACCAATGTTGGCTAGGAAAAAAACTGACCAAAAGGCAAAGGATCTTCAAAACTTAAGGAGAAAAAGTATGGGGGTGTATAAGATCAGCAATTGCTTCAGGGATACTGAGCTGTGAAAAGTAAAACAAGAATGTTGACTTGTTTAAAATCCTGTAGTTGTGGGACATCACTCAAAGGATTTGATTATAATTTTTCCCTTTCCACAGAAGAAAAGGCTAAATTACTCTTGATTTTTCAGAAATCAAGAAATCTATTCCAGAATTGTTTATGTCTGTGACTACAATCATCTCCTTTTCCACTACTGTCCTCTGTTGTAGGTGACTGTTCAAGAAGAAACCCAAAGTAAACCCCGACCTCTCCTGAAAAAACAAGAAAACCATCCTGGAAAACCAGGCCCAAGGCTGCCAGGAGGCAGGCAGGAACATTCTGGCCAAAAAAGCAGGAATGTGCTGCCTGGTAGCTGGCATGAGTGCCACTGGTCACAGTAGTTCACATGAGCTGCAATTTTGCCTTCCCTTTCCTAACAGAAACCTACCACAACCTACACCATGTACTTACAGGAAACAGGTGAAAAGCTGCAAAGTTTTGCTACCTGCTATTTGTAACACCCTGTATTGACAGTAATTGCTTTAGTAACAATCCAAAATTCCCAGGTTCTTTTTCACATTATCATGAAAAACAAAAATGCAGTTTCTTAACTAGAACACGGAAATCCTAATGGATTGCTCTGATGGCACAAGGTGAACTAAACTTGCTTTAAATGGCTTTCACCTTCCTTATTCACAGATTCACAGATTCACAGAATATTYAAGGTTGGAAGGGACCTCTACAGATCATCTAGTCCAACCTTCCCGCTCAAGCAGGCACACCTAGAGCAYGTGGCACAGGGCGGCATCCAGGCRGGTTTTGAAGACCTCCAGAGTAGGAGACTCCACAACCTCCCTGGGCAGCCTGTTCCACTGCTCTGTCACCCTAACAGTAAAGAAGTTGCTCCTCACCTGCAGACGGAACTTCTTCAGCTTGTGGCCATTACCCCTCATCCTATCGCTGGCCACCAGTGAAAACAGCTTGTCCCCTTCCTCCCTGCATTCTCCCTTCCTGAACTTAYACATATTAATCATATCCCCTCTGAGCCGTCTCTTCTCCAGAGAAAACAGGCCCAGCTCACTCAGCCTCTCTTCATACGAGAGATGTTCCATTCCCTTAATCATCCTGGTTGCCCTTCTCTGGACCCTCTCCAGAAGCTCCACGTCCTTCCTATACTGGGGTGCCCAGAACTGAACACAGTACTCCAGGTGCGGCCTCACCAGAGCTGAGGGGCAGAATCCCCTCCCTTGACCTGCTGGCAACACTCCTCCTGATGCAGCCAGGATCCCATTGGCCTTCTTGGCCACAAGGGCACACTGCTCACTCATGGTTAACTTAGTGTCAACCAGGACTCCCAGGTCCCTCTCCGTGGAGGTGCTTTCCAGCAGGTCGACCCCTAATCTGTACTGATGCCTGGGGTTATTCCTCCCCAGGTGCAGGACCCTGCACTTGTCCTTATTGAACCTCATGAGGTTCCTCTCTGCYCARCTCTCCAGCCTGTCCAGGTCCCTCTGGATGGCAGCACAGCCCTCCGGAGTGTCGGCCACTCCACYCAGCTTGGTGTCATCYGCAAACTTGCTCAGGGTGCATTCCGTGCCCTCGTCCAGGTCATTGATAAACAAGTTGAACAGCACTGGGCCCAGTACTGACAATTTTCTAAAATATTTCATTGGATTCTGCTAAATAAAGTGGTCTTAAGAATAGTACAAAATATTAACTAKTATGTACTAAAATTTGTTGTATATGAGAAGAAAAAATATATACAGTTATAGATGCAATTTGCAATAGGTAGCTACTTTAACAGACTCCTGTTGATTTTCATGGGTTTTCAAATTAATAGGTTAAAATTTGCCTAGATCTGTGGTCATTACCTCCCAGCCYAGTCCAGCAACAAAGTCTTCGTAGGCCTGGCTTCCTCTGGTGTTGGACAGTATGGAGCACTTGTCTTCCTGTCCTTCTGCAATGTAAAACACTGCAATCTTGTGAGTCTCACGGCTGCAATTGGATATAATGGGAAACAAAAATTAACAAGAAGTTTCAGCTCCAAATTCTTTTTTAAATCATCTGCACCCAGGAGAATGTGAACAAGGAACGGTGTTTTGCTCTAGGTATCAGCTTCTTTTATGAATGCAAATACACAGTTCAACTTCAGGCACAGAAATACAATGTTCACCATTTTTCCCCACCCACGACCACACTTCAGAGGCACCACAGTGCAGGAGCTGAACATCCTGCTGGTCTTCCTAGGAATCAGCACAGGAATTGATTACCAAGCTCCAGTTACAATATTAATCACCTACATCTGTGCAAGCTCACTGAAGACAATAAGATCACACAGGTGTTAATGAGAACATAATTTGACCTAGAGAATTTTAATTATGGGGTGATGATATAGAAGARAAAAACAATTTCTTGACTTTGAGAACTTCGGTTGAGTTTTACAAGGCTTACAGTTACAGCTGGCTTGTTTGAATAAAAACTGAGAGGATTTGACATGAAAATTGTTGGGGTATAGGAAAAAACAAATTTTGCAATTCTGCAGACCATTTTCAAGTAGCTATGTGTTAAGTAATAAAAAATAAAACACAATATTCAGAATTCTGTTTTGCCACCAGCCAGTCATAAAGAAATGATTTTGAAATTGTTCTTTAAAATATTGCTAATGGCACAGAGACCAATCTCAAGAAAATATTCTTTTATGTGAATCTAGGCAAGGTAATCAACATTTTTGCAACTTCTTACMTCCCCTCTCAACTACAGACACAGGGAGGGAAGAGGTTGTTGTGTATTATTTCTGTTACATATTTTGAATTCTGTGTATAGTGTCAACAAAAATAGTTGGTCTCTTCTAGCTCCAAGAAGCAAACAGCCATTTTCATACAAATATTTGTATTGCTCTCACATGTTATTTCTATTAATTTTGGTTTGGTGATGAACTAGTTCCTTCTTCAGAAAAGCTGACCCTATCAATAGTGTGCTTAAAAACATTGCCTACCACTGACGGGAATCCAGATTTTTCAGTTCTCTTAATAATTTTGAATTTTTCTTCAGAAGGTGGAAACTCTTTCTATTAAAAGAAAAAAAAAGATATAAAGGTCAATGCACCACAATACATACTTCCTTTCTGTCCAAATACTTAAGGAAATCATAAATGCAAATACAAAATTTCACTGAAACAGATATTAAGGGTCAAAACTATGTTCATTCTGACTACTAAGCAGCTACATAATTCTTGCTCTTTCTTCAGTGTGGTTGTTGAGGGGGGTGAGTCGAAGTGAGAGAAGTTTTGCAATTTACTCTGAAAATAATCATACTGAGGGCATTCTAGACCTATGAATACTTCATGGAGAATTTCAGACTAACAAGTCTTGCCTGGATAAATGTAAGCAAGAGGGAAAAAACATCCTGTTCCTTCCCACCACCTCCAAAGTCAGAGGCAGCAACTGTACTGTGAACGGCCATTCAGAAACATCTATTCTTACCTTCTATCCCAGGAATTCATTCCCAAGTCATTTAGCAATAACCTACAAAAATAAAATGATGCTTGGGGTTGAGCAGGGCAGGGTTCTTCTTGATGGGCTACCTTTACACCAAAGTCAGAACTGCATTTAAATATATATTCTTTTTCCTGGGCACTCTGCCTTATCAGAGCTTGAATGATTTCATTTTCTTGATCGCAGCTCATCCCACATGGTGGTGGCGATGGTTCGTTCAGCTGTCGCTGGGGATGCAAGAGGCACTCGGGACTAGAGCTACCAATTTTTTCCAGCAATATGTCAAGAGCATCTTCTCCTTCCTCTACTTGGGAAAGGTCTTCTGGGGAATTAGACTGGTGCTCAGGATGGCCTGCAATCACAAATGAGTTTGTTCCACTTTGCCGGGGAAGACAGCCCTCCAAAGGGCCATATAATATTCTGCCATCCCATGAGTATTTCCCTGAGATATCTCTGACAATTACTCTTACATCTGAGGGCGCTACAGCTGCCCCAGTATCTACTTTGTTTTCTGCAGGAATCTGAAGGTAAGACAGAAGAGTACTGTCATTGAACACAAATAATTGCAGGTTTGGACTTCTRAAGACTTCTGGAGACAGCTCGGAAGACTCCACATACGAGTTGTCATGATTCTCACTGAGAAGACTGTGAAGAATTGCAGGACCTCCACTGAGGGGATAGTGGCTCAAGTGGTTCACAAGATGYGTCATCACCATCCGTGAGGTTAGAGGTATCAGTTCTAGGTTTCTTCTTCTTTTCTCTAAAACAATCAAAAAAAATAGTAAAAAAACAGAAGTAACAGGAAGTAAAAAAAAAAAAGCATCCGCAAATTTCCGTTATATTTTAGAAGCTTGCCTTCATTTTCTTTCAAAGCATCCTTCTCCAAGAAACAATTTACGATAACTTTCCGATACTTTTTTTTTTTTTTTAAACCTTTCACGTGCTTATTTTACCATATGTCCTTTGCAATTTAGCTTACAGTGACATCCAGGTCTGCAGAAACGGCTCCTGGCCCTGACTGCTTTGTTCCTTCCTGCCCAGCACAAGCATCCTCGGCCAAGATGCCGCCTTCCCTTGTCCAACTCTCCAAGACTTTACATTCTATGCCAAACCTTAGGTTCATTCCAAGAATAACAGATTTTAGACTTTTTTTTTTTTTAAAGATTTTGAAGACTAGCAGGCCCAATATATTCTCTTGTTATCTATAAAGCAAAACAAATACATTTTTGAAGACTTATTACTTGGGTGGTGCATAAGTGTCTGAGATACTTGAGCTGCAATCTGAACATTATAATAGAATACAAATGCCTGTAAATTCACAACCAGGTTTGTGAGAGGAGTTGGCTTTTTAAAACATTCTTCATAGCTCATAACAAAAGAAAAAGCTCAAAATCTTGTCTAATAACTTTTTAAAAAGGAGCATCACCAAATGTAGGAACCACTAGAAACCACCTAGAAACAGCCACAGATGTGAACCTTTGTACTCTGGGTGATGTTTCTGAATAATGGGTTACTAGTTTTGTGAGGTAACGTGTTCAGATAATTTGTCYATTCTCTTCTTGCCCTTTCAATGCAACATGAAAAAGAGCATATAGTAGTATATACAGTTCTGTATATAAAGTCTGATGTCATTGGAGTTTCACTTTRTATTGTTTCATACATACAGTATTTCTACAGACCTGACCACAGCAAAGAGAACTTGASATGGAAGGGTGTAAGAACAAGAGAAGTGAGCTCAGAGTTGCCTTTAACAGTTATTTAAAACAGTATCATGGTTAAAATAATTGTAACAGGCGGGAAGAGGCCTTCTGGATCCAAAGGTGTTCCCTTCATATCAAAGACAAATGTTTTAATTACTTTTATTAACCAACTGTGCTCCCAACTACATTTTGCCTCTACTTTTCCTCCTGGATTGTTATACTGTTTTTATATATTTTCATATATATTATATACCTGCTTATCATTGTTAGTCTGTGTTGACATACAGCATGCAYCCATTCAGTTTATGCTTTCTTGCTCTTTCCTTGATATTTATACTCTTTCCTTGCWATTTATACCTTCTAATATGCTTTCTAAACAGGTATATCCCTTTCCTGGCTTCATTTTGCTAGGACCAAAGGCAAATATCTTCAAGTCTTCTCTCATACAAAAAGACTATGCTTTTCCTGAMTTCTCTAGCAGTGTGCTTCTGTGCCTGCTCCAGTTTGAATTCACCTTTCTTGAAAACAAGCAAAACAAAGACTTTGTGGGGCACTGATATATCCAAGATGAGAAACAACTTGTTCTCCCTAAAATGACAAATCTCTCTGACACGTACCTTTATCTTCCTGCTTTTCACAAAATGTACCCACTCAACAAGAAATCTGTGTGGAAAAGGTCTTAATGTTTCTAATCTTTTTGTTAAAGCTAAAAGTACAGGTACAAAAGTAAGAAAGCAAGAGGCAGGGCTGAATAATGGCACGGTATCACAGAAAATACCATTTCAAAGCATCACTGCAAGTCCAACATTGCTTGCACTTCATATTGCATGCATATTTTAATCTTTAAAAATATACTTATGTATACTAATATATGAAATTATTTACAATGTATGGAACCCATAACTGTGGCATTTTGAAGGCTATTTTTWWAAAAAAAAGTTTGAAATAAAGATGTTCACTAGGATAAGTCACCATTGCCCTGTATCTGTGACATTCTTTCAAGCTGATTTCAAATTTAGGGATATGATGCAGCTAGATCTAAATAATCTCTTTTTAAGTATGGTATCAGCTTCATGTCTCTCACTTASAAACCTCATGTCACCAACACCTTCTTGGGGGATTTATTTAAAACAGCCCTGTGGAAACAACAACTGCTTCTGCCCCAAASTGGAAAGCAGTTCAATCTTGCTCTTTTAGCTGAGGACAGTTGAGGATAAGCACTTTTTCCCCTTAATTCAGTATATCAWTACTCTCTGTAGCACACACAACAGCAGAATCCCCTCTAATTAGTCTTTCTGTGGCAAATTTCATTGACAAAACACAAAAGACTCATTAAAAACCTTGTTTAGCTTCTTTTTCTTCTAGTTTATACAAAACCTGAATGTACCAAGAACCATTTAAATCAGGCTTCTCATCTAAACTTGGCATATCCATTTAGRTATCTTGAATCTCTCACCAAGAAAACTTAACTAATTCGTTAACCTCCCACCCCAGTTTTGAAGGAATAATTCTTATYGATGCATGACCGTCAAGCACATTTTCACTTAGAAAGTTTTATTTCCTAGATGCCAAGTGTCTCCGTGTCAGTTGTCCCGCTCTCTTTGTGTGGTTTCTTACCCTCAGCCACAGTGAGGAGGTTGCCCAGGTCTGTGGCAGAAGGGCACTGGGCCGGCTCAGAATTCCTGACATTCCCAAGCGGCAGAAACGGATCATAATCACTGGAGGAGAGATCTGCGAGACTCAGCACATAATGGCTTTGCTGAGTGTAGGTACTGGAACCATTAACACAACAGTGCAAAACCTGGGAGAGTAAAGAACACAAAACTGAAAAAGTCCTCACGTGTGCATTCAAGCCACACGGTCAATGATGAGTGACCCGCCATAATTTTAAGCTATCAAGCCAGCATAGGCTACAAATAACATTTATATCTAAATACAACATTTTAAAATAAGACGCTCCCTTAAGATGTATTTTGTACATTAACAGACGTACAAAATTCCGCTCCAAACAATGTAACTATTTCTGCAGATTCTTTTCCTGACTTGTTCTGAGCACATTACCTTTCTCTTTCCACCTTCCTGTGTCACACATCTCCACCCCAAACTGCTTTTCTTCCTTTTGAAAGATTTTTCACAATAATCTTAGTTTCTTATAACAATAACTATTATATTGCTAACATTTTAAATTCTTAACATCTCTTTTGAGAATTCAATGATCATGATTCTCTATAGCTTCCTAAAACTGCTTTTGTTCCTAACAGGATCAAAGAAATGCACATTTTTAAACCCTAGACTTATACTAAATGAAATAATAAATTGTGTTCATTCTTCATACTCACTCTGTAAATATAGTCCAGTAAAGGAGCTCTGGAGGTATGTTGGTCTTCAAGAACACCAGCAGACACTGGCTCTAGTAACATTTTCACCGGTAAGGCCATACACCAATCCAACAAGCAAAGCAGCAATGAAACTATAAACTAAACAGAAACACGTAGTACAGTATTTGGGTAGAATCCATCAAATTTGCCAAAGTCTTAACATGTGAATTTGAAAGTTTAAAATAAGACTTAAGACAAAACCTTTTAATTTAATAACTAGTTTAGACAACAAAAACAAACAACAAATTTCGTTCTTTTTAGTTACATACCTTTTTATCTGCTTCCACAGAGGAATACTCAGCACTTGGCAAAAGAAATGCAACAGTGGCCACAAGGATCTACATGAAAATAAGCAAACAATTCCAGAATGATATTTAACTTCTTTTGCTATAAAGACATGGCACGTGCTTTATTTCACAAAGATATGAAAAGCATTACATGCTCTAAAGGGCTCCTAAATGGACAATCAATGTCTGAATCAACCTCCAGGCATCACAAAGTGTTCTGGGAATATACCAGTACCAGTGAGAAAAGCTTATCAGTCCTAGGACTGCAGCAGATCATTCATTTAATAATTGCAGAAGAAACAGCTTCTGTACTCAGAACCCTGAACTCAGGTTGAACAAGACATTACAGACAGCTTCTCAAAGGATTTCCATAAAAGTATTTCTTAAAGAAACCTAAACACATACTTCAGTGATCTTCCTAGGGAGAGAGGATTCATACTCCTGAAGCTTTTCCCAGTAGGAAACCAGCAGCTGAAGAACATCACAGGCTACCTGAGCTACCAGTTTATTCGAAAACTGGAAGAGAATAAAAAGGTGATTAAAAATCAGAAAGGATATTCATATATTTACACTTGCAGTTTTTCTACATCCTAAGTTACATTGCAGCGACATAAATTATATAAAATATTCACGGAGCCAAATCACACAGACTGYAAAAGAAAACTACAAACTTGACCTTCCCTGTGTATTCTTAACTTRATCTATTGCACTGAGAGCTAAACACATAATCACACACTACTTCTCCAGAGATTAAGTATTTTTATATAGTATGTCACCTCAGTCATACTAAAGAACCTCGCCAGTCAAGAAAATACACTGCATGCTCATTTTGATTTAAAAGTTTTTAAAAAGATACATATACGTAATTTTATTTTTTATATATTTTATTATATTTGTTTTATTATATTTTATTACATACATGTGCATAACATATGTGTATACACACATGCAGTTGGTAAAAYACTTCTTTACATATCTTTTACTAATTATACAGCCCATGACAGTAATACCTTGAGTGTAACACCTATGACATTTATTGCTTCCTTCACTTGAGGATGGCTTGTACRCTGTGTTAGTTCTTCACATATCCAGACTCCAAGGCCACAAATGGCTATACACCTTTCAAAATAAATATATATTTGTTATAAGATTTAAAACTAATACTGTCCTTCCCGCTATTTCACTCTTCATCATTTAAACAGCAGCCCAAACTGAAAGCAGGTAAAAATATGAACATTTCTGAAGATCTAGAATTAAAAACAATTAATATATCTACTTGAAAACAGTCAGGATACAGGTAAGAGCATTTTACTGATAAATGTAAAGAATACCCAGTATTTATATTTGTCTTTTGCTTGTGAGATTATGTACTTGTCATTCAAACTCACTCTTAATTACAAGAAATCCATTTGGAAGATTTGCATCTCCCCAACAACGTCCTAAGTAAAATTTGTACTTTTTAAATTAAATACACGCCAAAAAATATAACAACAAAGATTTGATTTCATGTAAAGGACATGTAAATAATTCCAGAAAGACAAAGCAAAACTTTTGCTTTCAGTTATTTAATTTTTTTTTTTTTGCCATCTTAGCACTCCAAATTACTTTTTTTTACTCAGCATTTTACCTTGCCGCTTCACTTGGCTCCTCAGTAGCATTCTTCAATAAAATATTTATGAGGTAACCCTAAAAWAATAAAATAACTTAGAATAAGCACTTTTTTCACACCTACTTCTTAAAATTGTTTACGTTTGAAACAGTCACAAGTTAAATAGACTTTTCCCAAAATATTTTCACTACATGCCAATTTTACATTGCCAAAGGAGAAAGAATTTACTGATCATTTACTGATTATTAAGCAAGAAGTGGAACAGACAAGATTAAATAGTTGGCATTCTCTTCCCTCCTTGGGATTCCTCCACAGACAAGGCAGATTTTGTGCCAGGATCAGTGCACTATCTCACTTATTTCAAAGGGCAACTAACATTGGTGCTAGGCCACTGCTGGGACAGGTTTTAGCTACAGGCAACATTCTAGGTGCCTTTTATTGGGTTTCACGGTGGGAGTTTTGTTATTCTCCTCCACGACCCTTACTGTGAATTACTAGATTACAAAGGTTTACTTCCAGTTGTCAAAGTAAGATCTCAGGGTGTCCCAACAAAATATGTTCTCCCAAATTTATTATAATATTAATAAGGTAAAAAGAAACCTCCTTTTATGCACACCCCTCATCTCTTGTTGGACAAGTCAGCCAGTATTATGTACAGATACAGGGAGGAGATCCTTTAAATAATAGCACCAACAACACTTAATGAATTGGACTGACAGGCATCTGGCTGAAAAACATAGCATTTGATCATAGCCAGTTCACTCTCCTTGAAAATAAAATTCAATTTGCACTATCTAAGCTTTGTTAATTTTATGGTGCATTTTAAGCAAAACAATGCTTATCAAATAAGTACGTATAACGTGTGGGGTTTTAGGAGAAGGAGGGGTTTATTTTTAAGAAAATGCGTACGGTAAAAAGAAACTGATTTAACTGTGAAAATACTAGGCTACATAGAGATTTACAAATGAAACGTGACTTTACTTTCACATCTGCAGTTCCCGTGACGATCTCGACAGCGTCCGAAACAGGCTGCAGTAGTGGCGTTTCTTGGTAGATATTTGGAAAGCAAACAAGAGAACCAAGGAGGGTGTGAGCTTCTGCACGAGGGGCCTAGGAAATGAAGAGGACAACAACACAAAAGCTGCACTCACCTACCTTTAGTGCAGTGTTATCACAACAGCAACGTCTTCTTTACTGCTGCTTGACACAGTTTTTCGTTACAAGCCATTTCTTTCCTACATTTTTCCTCCTCTTCAGCTCTCCCACACCATCCTCTCTAACAGTAAATCAGGTTTAAAATTGCAGCTCATCTCACACATTCGTATAGCTGACCACATYGCACTCCTCCTAAATTAGTTCATTGCAAATCTACAGCAAAAAATTCAAATATTTTTCATACAATGGCTTAACTGCCCCCTTCCTGCTTCCCAAAGACTATTTTCTGCTTTTCAGCTTTTGTCAAACTCTCTTAAAACAGTTTCTTGCTCCATAAATCTCCTTTATCTAGAACTGCACTAGAATTAACTATGCACGTAACAAAAACATGTAGAGAGATTCCCATCTCAATAAATCTGTCAAAAGCTATAGGGCAAAGAGCTATAAATGCATTTACTGCTACATGACTTTTCACAATGCTGAAAATTAGCACGCTGTACACAAGTTTCATRCTTGTGGGAGAAAGAGAGGCTTTTTAAAAAGACAGATTTTCTATGGAAAATAAGAGTTTTCATTTCTTTTTAGCACTTCAAGATCTGGATCAATAATTTATTGGCCAAGAACTTTCTTTAAGCAGATGTCAGAAAGTTAATGGCTGCAAATTCCTCGAGGGACAATGAAAAAGTGGGACTAGAGTCACCATTTCAATCCTGTTGAAGTGGCAAGTGGTCTGCAAGCCCATACAGGATCATTAGCCAACAATCCAAGCTTTAAGAACAGCACGAAAAACACATGGCCGARATGGATGGGAAGCACTCTACTGGATTGCAGTTTTGTGTATAGCAAAGGCCTCCTGCTTTCTGCTTTTTCCAGAATTATCAGATTTTTACACTTATTTTGCTATCCATCATTGATTTGCTATTTTACTTTTTTATTTAATGGATTTATAAATACATTTCTAGGAGTGCTGATACTTGGTAAGATAGCCTGGACTGCTAAAACTCCCCATATTTTCAATACCCACTTCCTGAGAACTGCTAATGACATTCTGAAATCCAAGTGGTGCTTTTCGGGTGCAAAGGCAGCATGCTCTTAGTGAGGATACCATTTCTCGCGCTTTGCCCTTTTGATGAAACACCTTTGCAAGAGCAGCGCGTCACCTTATCCTACAACTTCACACAGGAGCTGCCACGGTATCTGCCCCAAGAGCCCCGTTTCACGTTGCACTAATGAGTCCACACCTGTTAGAGTGGAGAAATCCGAGCCTCGTTAGCAGCCGYGCGCTCCTGTGGGAGCGCCGGCGTCGTCACACTCACCTCCAGCGTGTCTGCGCTCAGCACCCGGGCCGCGGCCATGATGAAGTCTCCCATCAGCATCGTAAAGCCAGGTAAGCCCAAGAAGAAGAAGGCGGGCGAGCAGTGCTTCACGACAGTGTTCAAGATATCCTGTTGGAGAGAGAGCAATGACCTCTTTAGGAAAGTCTGCAAGCAGACCCCAAAGGACACGTTCTTCTCAAGGAGCTTTGGCACTCGCTGGCTCCATACTCAGCAAAGTGATAGGCAGCATCTCCTACAGTCACACAGCTCGCTATATAATTTATTATCCCATAACAACTACTATTTTCCTCTGCTGGTGCATTCAGCAGGAAAAGTGTTCACTTTTTTTTTTTTCCTAAAACATTCAAATTATAAATCAATGTTAAGTTCTATACCTTCTGAAAATGAGGCATTGCCTAAAACCAGGTTATTCAAAATTCTGCAGCCATAAAAATAATGGAATTGTCCATTTTTTCCTAAGGAATTTGAGACAACACCCCCCCCACACACAACAGGTTGCTCACTGCTGCTATTTTGCTCCCGCATAAACCGATTTTTTTTCTAGGCTATTTGAGAAATACATGTACGTCAAATGCAAAAAGTGACTGTACACAGCACAGTAACAGAGAAACCTTCGCTACCTGGATTAATTATTATATTCTCCTAAACAGCAAACACAGATGAGTCTGGGGGGGGGGGGGAAGGGGGGGGGAGATTTTTAATTACCACTACCTTAAAGAACATGCTTTTTTTAAAAAAGGAGAAGCATTATATTTATAAGAATAGACTACTAATCCCACCTTGGCTCTCTGAATTATTCTGTTATATGGATCATGAGATGAGTATTTCAACCTTAATATCTGTGTTTCAGTTGTTTCCAGTGCCTCCAGAGCAGAGGAAAGCTCCTGGATGAGACAAGATTTCCCATCTACCAGGTTGCAGCAGGTTCAAAGTTTGGCACAAAATCTATGTAGCACAACTCCAATATTATAATTACAAAGTTATTTCTATACAGAGGYCACAATTATTTTTCTTATTATTAAAATTTCAAAGGAAAGGAAAACAGCTCTTCCGTGTTCCTCTATAGCATTTCTGCTCTATCATGTGCCTTATGTGTTTTTAAAAAAAAACACTTGCTCCAGAATGTGACTTTATGGGCCATTTCTAGAGAAACTAAATTCACCAGCTTTCTCCAGTTGCAAATATATTTTAATTATGTTGGTATTTTCTCTAAGCGCTGGTAACATATGGACAAAATCTATTTATTGTCCTATTAAAGGATTTACAGCAGTAACATGAAATCTTATGAAATAATAAACAGGGTTATATTTCAGATATTACCAGATAAATAATATCCACTTGCAGCATTGTTCCAGATAATGCTTTTGCTTCCCTGTATAAGCTAAAACGCCACTCGAGTTAATGTTTAAACTAGTTTTAATCACTTCCTTTGATACATTTTAAAGTCAATAACAGTCAATGCAAACATTCAAAAAGAGAGAGCAGATGGATGCAGCCGCTCGTAAAGAGGGCGGCCAGCTCCTGCCCTCGGCCGAACAAAAGAGGCACCTTTTCTATAATTAAGCAGCTGATTAATGCGCGGGGGCTCCTCTGGGCACCGCACACCTGTAATTACTGGCGGGGCCAGGTACTACGATGTTTGGTCGCGGCATAATTGGGCACGGGGCTCTGCTCGGGAGCAGCAGATGGGAGCACAGGGCTGTTGACACAGGCGACAATAAAAGGGGCCGTGGCGCCGCGGGCCGCCCAACGCCACGGGTCCAAAGGCTCCGCGCAGAACGGCCGCGCTGCCGTGGGCTCCGCCGCCTCCAGCTGCCAAGGGCACCAGTAACACTCATGTTTCTTGGCAGACAAAAAAAAAAAAAAAAAAAAATCCACCACCACACACACCTGTAAATCTCACCAAAATAAGGGCCTGGGAAGCTACCAAGTACCTGCAAGGACTGGGTAAATGTCTATTTTGGGGGGCTCATACTGAGGCCAAGATGTCTCTCTGTAGAGGATTGCAAGTATAGCCTCCTTCACAAAATTCAAGACAACTATTGGTACCACTCTGATCACTTAATTACAATCGCTTTTTACAGTATTTAGAAAGCAGGAGGAAAAAAATCATTATAAAACCATTATATTAACCCATTAATACCTACGAAACTACAGTGCAGCATAAAAAATGGTTTTAGCATTAACATAATTAGCAACAGTACTTCAATACTTCTAACCCAAAAGCTGTAAAAGTTTAGTAAAAAAAAGGAAAATGTTTTTCAGCATCTATTTTGAAAAGACACTGAAATAATTCTCAATAATCCTTTTCCTTTTTTTTGTTATGAAGCTTCAAAAATACAGAATTACTACACAGCCGACATGCCGCCGCCATACTATGGACGTGAATGAGACTGCTGAGGAAACGCAGTGTCACACCTGGTGTCCAGCCTGGTTTTCCAGCAACTTCCATGCTCGTTTCTCACCCCGGGTCCTTCGGGATCAATTTGGGGGAGCTTTAGTGGCCCAATCAGCCCAGTGGTTCGGCTTCCAGAATATTCTGGAAAGCGGGAAGAACATTCTGGAAAGCAACCACCCCTAGGAAGGCTCTTCCCGGAGAACTTGGGCAGCTCTGCCCCTGTCTCCCAGCGAGGCCACGCATGAGGCCCAGCTCCAGGTGGCCATTTGGTAGCACCACAAGGTGACCAAATGCTTCAGGTTCATGCGAAAGCTGCTGAGCGGGAACATATGGGGCTATCAGTCACCCTGCAAAAATCAGGTAATTCAAACAGAGGTAAGTTGTTTCCTTCCCCTCCAAGCTCTGCTCTATAAATGTAAACTCTGCTCAGCAGCTTACAGCCTAGTAAATGAATCACTTTAATTGAATGCTATGTACACAGTAACTGGAAAAACACAAGCAATAAGAAAAACATATGGTGATGGCCATAGAAATTGGTTTACTCATTTGGTACAGTGTTGTTCCTTTACTTCTTCCATAATTGACCTTTAGAACGATAAATGTGTAAAATAATTTTGGTTTATTATGGCCCCAAACCTTTCAGCAATTACACAAAATGAAAATTTAAAAGGAAGCGCTCATTCTGGAAGCATTTCTATTGTTTACATAATTGCACAGCTATAATTTAGTGTTCATGTTGTTAAAGAAAAGTGGGGGAAAAAAAGAAAACCATTATGGACTATTTCAATTCCAAATGATGCACCGTAGTGTTAAAAATGGGGAGGAGGGGAGAGTAGGGGGCAATCACAGGCATGTCCATCTCGAATGGATTAACTCCATCTCAAATGGATTAACTCTATAAATGGCATAATATTTCAATATAGGATAATCTAGTAAATCCGAATAAGATCATCAACATCCTTTGAGTAAGTGGAAGAAAAAAAAATATGCAAGTTCATTGAAAGGGCAATTACAAAAATATTCTTTGCCTAATTTCTGTGCAAGCCTTTGCAGATTGCAGGTGTAACAAAATAGCTTGCCATCTGCCTTGATCACATTTCCAATTGTCCCCTAACAGGAACAACATGGATTTTTCACTTAAAGTTCACTTGTTCCGAACTGAGATCCACAGCATTAAGGGCTAAATTTTAGAACCCAGAAAGATGATTAATTTAAACATGTCTTAAACAGTAAAGCCTTTATTTTCCTTTTTTTGCTTGTTTGTTTTAAAGKAACAATCACTCTCATTTATTAAATCCAAGTTAATCTAGGGATTCTTACATTTTAGGTAAGAGCTAACTTGCCAAAAATTAAATTCTAGCAAAAATTTTTGACAAGTATTTCACTGCATCAAAAAAGCCCCAGGACCATTTTGTCAAAGCCAAACCAAAACAAAGGATCTAAACCTGTCATTTAAATCTACCCTCCGAAATAATTAAATTTGCTAAAGTATCTTGTGATTGAATATGACAGGGAAAGGCACTAAAACCAGGATAAGACGTTCAATTTAGAAAATGCGAGTAAGACTGTTTGCAAATGCAAAATTACTGAATAAATCCTTTGCTGTCAATTGCTGTCTCCATTCTCTCTTTTGAAGCCATATTATTAACTCAAAACTCTTCTAGTGCTTGTGTAGCAATGCTCAGATGATGCCTTATTAACAGACTAGATAATCATGGGAAGCAAATAGATTTTTTTTATTATTATTTTTCTCCCATTTTTAAAGCATGTTCTGTATTTTTGTAACCTAGGAAACCACTGGCACTAAGGATAGATTCCAAATGGAAAGAAATATGTCAAGTCCATGCAACAGGGAAGTACCTGAATGTGCATTTGTTACAGATACACTTACCAAGAATATAGTTATTTGATGGCACTGCTCAATACATTGAGATGATTCACCCTTCTCTCATCTCTTTGGCTGGACCATTTAGAAATACCTGATTTTAAGATCAGCCTCACACTGCTGCAACAGCTGGAGCTTGGGGTTAGCAATTTGCAGAGAAAGAGGTTTCAGCAAAGTGAATGTGAGTCGATCTGGGAGCCCCTGTGGAAAGGGGCACCCTGCAGGGTGAACACTTGCCTGGGCGGGAGGACAGAGTATCCACCTCAGTAGGCTGAAAAATTGCTGAATTCTTTGGACTTTTTACTCTCATGTAGATATCAAAGCAGTTTTTGTGATAAGGACTTGTTTTGCATAGAAGAGCAAAAAAAAGTGCAAGTGTGGTAAGTCATGCAACCTTGCTAAATGTTTTAAAGGTAACAGATAAGAAGTTAATATGAATCGGAGAAACTTATGAATCAGAGAAATAGAATTGCTTATGGAAAGTCAGAGCACAATTAAAATAAGCAGAGAAAAAAGRGGAGAAAAGAAACAAAGTGCTGGAAATGAAGGATGACAAACCAATACTGCCTTGCAGGGATGTGTGAACAAAAAAGCTGTCTGGGGAGAGTCTAATATTGGAAAGACGGGAGAGATGGAAGACAAGGTGTGAGCAAACTGGAGGAGGTAAGGGGTGGAAATCATCCTCTCCATTTCAAAAAAAAA